GAATGGAATGGACAGGACCGCAGATTAGAGGAGCAGGAGGGCAGCTACTCACACCTACCGGAAAGTGCACCGCAAGAATGAAGATAGGGGATGCATCCTTCGTCGCAACTTTTGTTATCCTTTCTGAGTGTTGCAAGCAGGCAATCTTGGGGATGGATTTCTTGCGTGAATATGGTGCCATCATCAATATTCCGGACGGTGTACTGACCTTTTCAGCGGATCAAAGCGCGGCGCTACACCGAAAATCTCTACGAGTCATTGACGATGTGACCATACCTCCGTTATCGTGCCGCCTTGTTCAAGTCACGTGCAGCGAGCAGAATACTGGAGAAGGAATCGCTGAACAAGTATTGACGCTCCTACTCTCTCGCGGTGTTGCAATTGCCACAAGTATCGTCAACGTTGTGTGCGGTGAAGCAGAGGTTCTGTTGACGAATTTTACCAACGAGCGACGACACATTACACAAGGCACTACAGTTGCCTACTTCGACGAGATCAGCAAAATCCGCGAGTGCTGTGTAGTACAACAGGACGAGCCGCAAGCCACGTCAGCCCCACCACCTATTGACGTAAGCTCGGATTTGTCACCAGCGCAGAGACAGCGTCTAGTAGATCTTCTTCACCAGTTCAAAGACTGTTTTTCATCAACCTCGAGGGTCAGTCAAACGCCACTGACGAAGCATCGGATAATAACGGAGTAGACGGCAAGGCCAATACGACAGAACCCATACCGCGTAGCACCGAAAGAGCGTGAAGCAATCCAGGAACAAGTGAAGAAAATGCTCGAGGATGACGTAATCCAGCCGTCAAGAAGTCCTTGGGCATCGCCGGTAGTGCTGGTTAAAAAGAAAGATGGAAGCTTGCGATTTTGTGTCGACTACCGCAAGCTGAACCGTGTGACAAAGAAAGACGTGTACCCATTACCGCGCATCGATGATTCACTCGAAAGACTGAGGTATGCACGCTACTTTTCGTCAATGGACCTCAAAAGTGGGTATTGGCAAATAGAGGTCGACGAGCGAGATAGAGAAAAAACGGCTTTTGTAACGCCTGACGGGCTTTATGAATTTAAAGTCTTGCCATTCCGATTGTGCTCAGCCCCCGCAACATTTCAGAGACTGATGGATACCGTTCTGTCAGGCCTTAAGTGGCAGACATGTCTGGTCAATCTGGACGACGTCATTGTTTTTTCAAAAACATTTGAGGAACACCTGAGCAGGCTGCTATCGGTATTTAGGGCAATAAGGTCTGCCGGCCTGACACTGAAACCCGAGAAGTGTCATTTCGGTTTCAAGGAGCTTAAATTTTTAGGCCATGTGGTGAGCCATGAAGGTGTTCCACCTGATCCCGATAAGATTGCGGCCGTCAGAAAATTTCCGGTACCAAAAGACAAGAAAGCAGTCAGGCGTTTCCTTGGCCTATGCGCATACTACCGAAGGTTTATTGCCAATTTCTCCAACATAGCCTCGCCATTAACACGACTCACAAGAGAAGACGTTTCGTTCACATGGGGCGACGATCAACAGGTGGCATTTGACGATCTCTGACAACGCCTGCAGACTCCGCCTGTGCTTACTCACTTTGATGAGGATGCTCCTACCATGGTCCATACAGATGCCAGCAACGTGGGTTTAGGCGCTGTACTCGTCCAGTGGCAAGACTCAGCCGAGCGTGTGATCGCATATGCTAGTAGGACGCTTTCCCGCGCCGAGTCCAACTACTCCACAACGGAAAAAGAGTGTCTTGCTGTCGTATGGGCGGTTATGAAGTTTCGTCCGTACCTCTATGGCCGTTCCTTCCACGTAGTCAGCGACCATCATTCCCTCTGCTGGCTGACCAACTTGAAAGACCCGTCTGGTCGGCTCGCACGGTGGAGCTTACGCCTCCAAGAGTTTGATATGACGGTCGTGTATAAGTCCGGACGGCAGCACGCCGACGCCGATTGCTTATCAAGGTCACCGATAAAGCGCGACGATGACACAGAAGATGACAGCATGGCGTTTGTAGGAGTCGTTGACACCACTACGATTTTGTGCAAGCAGAAAGAAGACAGTGAGTTGCTTCCTCTTATTGAATTTTTGAATGGCCGGACAACAACCGTCCCTAGAAGATTTGCAAAGAGCCTGCTGTCATTCTGCTTACGTAGTGGTGTTCTCTATAAGAAGAACTTTTCTCCCAGAGGAAGTACCCACCTACTTGTCGTTCCGACGTCACTTCTTGAGGAGATACTTTGTGCTTGCCACGATGAGCCAACGTCTGGTCATCTCGGATACACACGCACATTGGCCAGAATACAACAGAAATACTACTGGCCAAGACTTCCAGCTATTGTGAAGCATTACGTGCGCACGTGCCTCAATTGCCAACGACGAAAATCGCCACCGTTAAAACCAGCTGGGCTATTACAACCAATTCAAGTGCCCACGGTACCTTTTGCCCAAATTGGAATGGATCTCCTTGGACCATATCCGACTTCCCATGCTGGCAACAAGTGGGTAATAGTCGCCACTGATTATCTTACGCGCTATGCCGAAACAAAGGCTTTGTCAAGTGGCACCGCCGTTGAAACCGCACGATTATTCGTAGAAAATATCGTCCTGAGGCACGGTGCTCCAACAATCATAATAACGGATCGAGGTGCCGCTTTCACGGCCGCGCTCCTGAAGACAGTGCTTGAGCTCAGTGGAACCGCCCATCGGAAAACCACTTCGTATCATCCACAAACCAACGGCTTAACAGAACGCCTCAACAAGACTATTGCCGACATGTTGAGTATGTACGTTGACGTGGATCACAAGAACTGGGACGACATTCTACCGTACATCACGTTCGCCTATAATACAGCGCAGCAAGAAACTACACGAAGAACGCCGTTCAGTCTCCTTCATGGCCGTGAAGTGACGACGATGCTTGACGCCATGTTACTGCACGACTGCAATGACATCGATTTGGACGCTGCATCTTTTACCCAACGAGCAGAAGAAGCGAGGCAGCTTGCGCGCGTCCGAATCACCCAGCAGCAAAATTATGACGCCCAACGTTATAATCTGCGACACCGACATGTCGTCTATCGGGCCGGCGACAAAGTTTGGGTATGGAGTCCTATCCGCCGCCGGGGACTGTCTGAAAAATTGCTGAAGAAGTATTTTGGCCCCTACACAGTTTTACAACGCATGAGTGACGTTAATTACGTGGTCGTTCCTGACAACCCCTCGACAACTCGCCAGCAAAAACCAGAAATTGTGCATGTTGTGCGAATGAAGCCCTACTTTTCGGACTGATTTACACCATACACCTACTACACCATCTTTTGTAGAAGAGCATCGGGACGCTGCTCTCTGGAGGGCGGCAAATGCCACATTGAATATGCAGCGCGAAGAGGACAACGAAGAACACGCGCAGCGAGTGAAGAAGACGAGGTTCTCTCCCGATCAGTTTGCCAGTATTCTAATACAATTAAAGTGAGTTTCCTGGATTCGACTGCTGCTGTTTCTGCATTGTGACAATATAGCCACGCCTTTTCTTTCGTAAACAGTGGAAAGAACTTATTATTGTTTAAAATGCAGAGAAAGTGGCTTTCATGCTCCGCAAGCAGATGCGTACTTTATACATGCTCCACAATTCAGCAAGAAATATTGCCGTAGTAATGCGTGTTACAAGCATTCATTGCCAACGGGCGTCAGAATATGTGACTATCATGTTGGCTCCGTGGTGGAAAGCTGGTACCTCGCTACAAAAGGCACACACGCTACTGCGCCTATTTGCTTAAAGCCATGCATAGTAGGCGCATAGAACATTCGAAAAGGGTTTTATCCACAAAGTGTTCGAAATACGCACTAAGCACAGGATATCGCTATCACGTTCAACTCCTAAAGGCATAGCTTTCGGGTCTCCCAATTTGTTTTATTCGTACTGGAAACAATCCTGGTCAAAAGACTGCCATATCATTTTAAGCCAAGAAAGACTGTTAATCAAGTCGAGGCAACAATGTAAACCATCTTACGAAAATGTTGAAGTGTACAAAAGTACAAGGAGAATTTCAGCCTTCCAGGAACACCAATAAAAACACTAGTTGGAATAGCACAGTGAATTGGATAATAAGCAAACATTGCACGCACGTAAAACGTGCAAAACCACGGTGAAGCATCTTTATGATAAACAAAGGTGACGACAGATATTTACCAGTGGGACCAGCTCCCTATACGAAGTAGGCGACAATGCACAGGGTCATTGTACAATTATTTCTGGGATCATTAAAATTTATTATTTTTAATAGTTTGCAAATACATCATACTACCAGTAAACCATTTACCCTTATTTTTACAGGTGCTTCTTGTAGGCTATTCTGCAGTAAACCACCGGCAAGTCTCTGTATACAACATTCAAACGGAAGATGCCTTTGCCAATGCAGTATGTTTGGTTCACATAAATTTATTCTACACCGCATGTTTTCCCCATTTAGTTTATTTGCATGAAAGTGGCTTCTGCAGCCATAGGCATTGGAGTGAAGTTAACGAAACACAAGTGGGTGCCTAATAATAAAGTGTCATAAATAAAAATTGCATTTTTATGGACCATAGAAATATTTTATATAAAAACTGTGACCATTGTATCTATGGGCTTATTTACAGTATTTGAGCAGACCAATATAATGAATCTGATGTTCGAAGAGTGCAGGCCACACTTGATAACTATAAACCTGAACTTACGCCTAACACAAAATAGTTCGACGCTAATAGAGCTTGCGTGGTAGAATCTGCATTTACCTATTGCAGTCCTTAATACTGAGACGCATCGCTCGGCAGAGCTGCGCAAGTGAACAACTCGCGTCCCAAACAACAACTGACTTTTATTATCACCCTTCCTCTCGAAGATAACTTTCTCGTGCGGGCGCATGCGCTCTCTGCACTGCACACAGAAGCACCGCTTTGCGTCGCCACAGTACTCCCCCCCGTAGTGGGAGCGCGCACAACGGCCGCACTCGGACGACCCACTGCCGTTCATAAGTTCATGCGCACCGGGGGCCTCGTACACCGTCCATTCCGTGTAAACCGTTTGAGGACTTGTTGGGGCTGCGCTACGTGGTCTGCCGGGGGTGCCTGCGAAGATGGAGCTCGAGGTGGTGCAGGTGCTTCGCTGTCGGAGTCCACGTGTGCCGGTTTTACGCGGTCTAGAGAAACCACGTCGTGACGACCACCTCTGTCGATTGTAATGTGCTTGTCTGCCCGTCGCAGCACCTTGAAAGGCCCGTCGTACGGGGGCCGGAGTGGAGGCTGTACGGCGTCGTGCCTCACAAACACGTGAGAGCAGGAGGAGAGTTCGCGGTCCACGTAGACTGGCCGGGCTGCGGGCGGACGCGGAGGCACAGCGCGTAGCTTGCTCATGATGTCTCGCAGTCGCACGGCGTAGTGCGCGTTCGCGTACACGTTTTCGTCCTTACTGGTAGTGAAAAACTCTCTCGGGAGGCGAAGCGTTGTTCCGTACACCAGTTCAGCGGAGCAGCATCCAATATCTGCTTTCAGAGCCGTCCTAACGCCCAACAGAACAAACGGCAGTGCCTCTACCCAGCTGTGACTCGCAGTAGCCGTCAGGCTCGTCTTCAGATGGCGATGGAACCTTTCCACTATACCGTGCTTATCGGATGGTAGGCAGTTGTTCTGATGCGGTGAGTACCCAAGAGCCGGGTGACGCTTGCGAACAGGGCGGACTCGAACTGTGTTCCGCGATCCGTAGTCACGGTTGCCGGCACTCCGAAGCGGGCCACCCAGTGGAAGATAAATGCGCGGGCGACGGTATCAGCAGTCATGTCTGGAATGGGCACGGCCTCCGGCCATCGCGTGAAGCGATCGATGCAGGTTAGCAAGTGGCTTTGCCCCTGGCACAACGGCAGTGGTCCCACAATGTCAACATGCACATAGGCAAATCGACAGTCCGGCAGAGGGAAGGATCCTAAGGGGGTCACAGTATGTCGCTGAACTTTGGAGCGCTGGCATGCGATGCACTCTCGTGTCCAGTATCGGACATCCCGGTTTATTCCTGGCCACACGAACCTCGTTGTGCATTGCCGTTGCGTGGCTCGAATCCCCAGGATGCGCCAGGCTGTGCAGCAAGTCAAAAATGCTGCGACGGAGGTACGAGGGGACGAACGGTCGGGCCTTGCCTGTAGACATGTCGCAGCATGCGGATCCTGTGGGTTCTGCCAACCATTGCAGTTTCAAGGCGCTGGTTGAAGACGTCAGTAGACGCTTCAATTCTCCATCACTGCGTTGAGCCGTCGTAAGTGTGGTGAAGTCTACGCCGCTCGGCAGGCTGATGGCATTCACTGGACCGCGCGAAAGAGCGTCGGCAGCAGCATTATCCGTGCCACTAACATGGCGTATATCTGTTGTGAATTCTGCGATGTACGACATTTGGCGGAGCTCCCGTGCCACGTGCGCACCAGAATCTGAGTTCACGCGCAATGCGTAGGTGAGTGGCTTGTGATCCGTGAGCACAAAAAATTCTTGTCCTTCCACATAATGTCGGAAATGCCGGATAGCCGCGTATATGGCCTAGAGTTCCCTACCGAAGGTGCTGTACCTTCGTTCGGACGGGCTCAGTTTTCTGAAGAAGAAGGAAATTGGTCGCCACACTCCGCTCACCCTCTGCTGCAACACGGCTCCAATCGCTGCATCGGAGGCGTCCACCATGACGCACTAAGAAACACCCAGCTGCGGGTACGTGAGCATGGTAGCATTTGCGAGAGCTTCCTTTATCATCCGGAATGCTTGTGTGGATTGGTCGTTCCACTGAATGGCAGTTGCCTTAGATCCAGATGCCGCAAGTAGGCTGTGGAGAGGGTGAAGGATGTTGGCGCATTTCGGGATAAACCTGCGGTAGAAATTCACGAGTCCCAGGAACTCTCGAAGCTGGCGGAGGTTTTTCGGCTTTGGAAACTGCCGTACTGCTTCCACCTTGTCCTTCTGGGGCTGTACTCCGGCACTTGAAATGCTGTGGCCCAAAAATGATAGTGTCGGTACCCCAAACACGCACTTTGCCGTATTGATAACGATGCCGTTCTCTGTCAGTCGCTGAAGTACGTAGCGCAGATGCCGCTCGTGCTCTTCAGGAGTGCTGCTAGCAATCAGAAGATCATCGAGGTATACCTAGCAAAAGTTGAACCACGGAGAACGCCATCCATAAACCGTTGAAAAGTTTGGCCGGCGTTTCGTAAGCTGAAAGGCATGCGTAGGAACTCGAACATTCCGAACGGCGTTGTTATTGCGGTCTTGGGGATATCCTCCGGTGCTACGGGTATCTGATGATATGCTCGCACTAGATCTATTTTAGAGAAAATAGTAGCACCATGCAGGAAGGAGGTCATGTCATGAAGGTGCGGGACTGGGTAACGGTCTGGCATGGTTACCCGGTTCAGCGCTCGATAGTCCCCGCAAGGGCGCCAATCACAGTCGGTTGATTTTGGGACCATGTGAAGAGGTGACGCATATGGGCTGGATGAAGGACGTACTACCTTGAGTTCCATCATGTGGGCAAACGCTGTCGAACCAACCGCAGCTTCTCGGGTGACAGGCGCCGTGCTCGCGCATAGACCGGTGGGCCTGTGGTTTCGATGTGATGCAGGACGCCGTGCTTTACTTCTGGAAATGCCTGTGGCTGTCGTGTCAGCTCTGGGAACTCTTGTAGTATTGCGGTGAAGTACGCTTCTCCAGCCGGACTAAGCAAGGCCGGGCTGATAGGGGGGTGCCAACACGGCGTGCCTTGTATACCGCTCCCCGAGAAACGGGATCTTGAAGCCGTTTGTTGCAGACGTCGACCAACAAACCGAAGAACTGGAGAAAGTCTGCGCCTGGTATGGCGAATTTGACATCAGCAGCTATGAACACCCAGCTAAACGTTCTGCCGAAACCGAAGTTCAGCGACAGTGAACGATGGCCATATGTTGTTAACACCGTGTTATTGACAGCCTACAAGGGCGATGTGCTAGGTTTCTTTCTTTCAGCTTGTGACGCCGGTATAACGCTCACCTCGGTGCCTGTGTCCACTAAGAAACGTACTCCGTTGTTGCCGTCGGTAATAAAAAATACTGAGGGACGACTTGGAGGCAACGTAGTAGCACTGGTCGCCCTCAGTGCCTGCCGCGGCTGTTTCCCGAGTGCACGCGCGCACGGTGGGACACATTTGCGCACACTACTTCCGAACCTCCGATGATACCAGCAGCTCGTGCTGCTCTTGCGATAGCGGCGTGTTAGGCTCGGTTATCGTTTGCGCCTTTCTGCTAGCGTGCAAAGCTGATAGTGTTTCGGCAAGTCGAGAAATCTCCTCACGCATCTCGTGAAGTTCGTTTAGAGGCTGTTGCGCTTGCACGGCAGCCATTGGTGTGGGCGGTGACATTGCTACCAGTTTGTCAGCAAGTTCGGCGGCTGCGGTTAAATCCTTGTGCTCTGAGGCCGCGATGACCATGCGGACGCCTGCAGGCAACTTTTGCAAAAAAAGTTCTCGGAGCAATACTCCATCTATCGTGTTTGATGTTCCGCCAAGCAACTGTTGCATGTGCCGCAAAAGCAGACTAGGAGTACGGTCGCCGAGTTCCGTGCCGCGAAGCAATTGCTGCAGTCGTTGTGGTTCGGAGGGCATAACTCGGCGAATAAGGGTTTCTTTTAGCGTTGAATATGCGTTTTCGACAGGTGGTGCGAGCAACAGATCTCTGATTTCACTGGCTATGGCGGGCGGCAGACTGTTGACTACGTAGTGGTATTTCGTAAGGTCTGTGGTGATTCGTCTGGCTGCGAACTGAGATTCCACTTGTATGAACCAAAGTGCGGGGTCCGCAGTCCAAAAAGGGGGCAGCTTACCGTCGACTGAGGAGACTGTCGGAGGGGCGTCGGTCGTGGACGTTGAATCCATATTGCGGCTGCTTCGACACTCCGGTCGCTGTGTCTGTATTCCAAGTCCGGGTCACCAATGTTGAGACGCGTCGCTCGGCAGAGCTGCGCCAGTGAACAACTCGCTTCCCAAACAACAACTGACTTTTATTATCACCCTTCCTCTCGAAGATAATTTTTCTCGTGTGGGCGCATGCGCTCTCTGCACCGCACCCAGAAGCACCGCTTTGCGTCGCCACAATACCTATGACAACTTGTTTAGAATACATTTCCAGTAAAACTGTGGTTAAAAGGAACGACTTAAATGAGTTAAGTTGGCAATATAACTTTAGCGGAGTTCTGTACACTTTGTGGTCAGTATTTACTCTTTATACAAGGACCGGTGGCAAATCTTCGGCCAATAGCAGCATGCTGCCCATGGTTCAGTATTGTGACGTCTTAGACATGACGTCAGAACCCTGCCCACACCCCTTGCACCTTCTTACGTGAAGACTAAGTTGGCAGATTTGAGGGTAAATGTGGTCACGCAAAAAAAAAGGACGATCCATCGCTTTCTGGTTGACATTCCCTTCTGTTACACCTTCAGCCTTAGCAAAATAACGTCGTCATTTCTTTTCCTAATCATAATTTCATTTTCTATCGAGCATCCACCGCAGTGGCTTCATAGAACTCGGGCCCTCGCCTTAATAACCCGCTGAAGCCTGGACTCTACTGCCAATAAAATCAATGTACAAACGAAATTTTTCGTTCTCAGTGTGCTACAAATGATAAATATTGAACTAAAATGTACAGGTTGGGGCAGAGCTTCATTGAGGGAGTTCACATGTTCATCTCTCACCTTTTCACCCAAGTTTTTCTTCAAACGCATTCCAAACAAGTCGTTGCTCTCATCAGGAAATACATTATTTTTGTCGGTGAATTCACCTACTATCACGCAAGCGCTAAATGCGTGTACTCATGTTATGTTAGAGTTTGTATTGTAACAAATGTACGAGTTGACGTATGAAAGCTTTAGTATTGTAAGAAACGTGTGAGGCCGTCCAAAGGAAGTTTGAATGTTGTGAAGATATCAAGGGAGTTCATACGCACGTTGCCACCCCTGAAATTGAAGTCACATGATAGTGGCCCGATCGCAAATATTTTTTGGAAGTTTGTGACATCTGGTGGAGGTGCTGGGTACACGGCTTGACGGGGGCGTCCGGTACATGAACGAAGCAGCACCTCCACCAGATGTCACGGGCTCGTGACATGGCCGAAGACAGGAGACTTCGTGTTGAGATTGAACTGTTTATTTGGGCGAACCTGTGCCCGGTAAACGGAAAGTCCAATTACAGCAGCAGTCTTGCACAGATAGCAGTCTCGGACTGATAGCGGCGAACAGAGCGTCGGCCTTCGATCAACAACTGACAAGCGGCGAAGCGCGTCGGCATTTATACTCTTGCCGTCGAATGTTCTAGCGTTATCGCTGGCGGTGGCGTAGGTTCCAGAACAATCTGTACCGTTCGCACAGTGGGCGTGATCTTATCGAAATGATCTACTACAGTCCGGAACCTTCTAGAAAACTGCAGGCGCGGTTTGCGCGGAGAATCGTGCGGTGTTCTGGGACGATAACAAAAACTTGGGAAATGAAACGTGGCATTCGGCGGGAGAAACCCACCGAAAACCGTCCAAGAATTTGTAGCCGAAGCGACCACTATTGAAAAGACACTGGACATGCGCACTAGACAGTATAATCGTCGCCTGACTGCAGACTGCGCTGCTGCTCAAGCCAGTAACTCCGGAGACCTGCGTGAAACGATCCGAGCGATCGTGCGGGAAGAGCTGCGCAAGCTGTTGCCTTCGGCGCAGCCTCAAGTGGATTCAATCGCCGACATTGTGCGAGAAGAAGTTCGGCAATCGCTTCAACTTCCCCACGCACCGCTGCCCGAGCCGGAAGCTATGAGCTACGCCGCTGCACTGCGCCACAACGCTCCTCCCCGTCCACGCCAAAACGCCGCCCCGTCGCACTTCCGTCGAAAGACGCCACCGCCGCCACCACCCTTACCAACGTCATACCGTTCGCCAGCGGCCCAACGCAGTGCACCAAGGAAGACTGACGTCTGGCGCACCCCTGACCATCGCCCGCTGTGCTACCACTGCGGCGAGGCCGGACACACATACCGCCGTTGCCAGTACCGACAGATGGGACTGCGTGGCTTCGCCGTCAATGCACCGCGTCCACAGCCAGGAGAACGACCACGTGACATCGCCGACTACCTCACAGCAACTCGGTGGACACCACGAAGCCCTTCGCGTTCGCCGTCGCCCAGCCGCCGCACGTGTCCGCACCACCGGCAGTACTCTGGCCCAACGCGGGGCCGGTCTCCTAGCCCGTATCCGGAAAACTAAGGGCAGCAACCGGTGGAGGTGCGGTTGCTGTGCGACGAACTACCGAAGATCCTCCGACGACGACGACGCCGCGACGGAGCTTTCCGAACACAACGCCAACCAGGCAAAGCCCTGAAGGCGAAAGCTCACTTACCGAAGGTGGCCTGACGACGCAACATGGAAGCAGCGGAACAAGCCGACGCAGCCGTGACCCGACGCCACGCCCTAACTGTAATGCGAGACGGCGAACTAGCGACCTCGACGTTCTTATCGACGGCCACAGTGTGACCGCTCTCGTCGATACTGGAGCCGACTATCAGTGGGTCGTTCGCCGCGAAGTTAAAGAAAGTTAGGACAGCTTGGAAAGGCCCTGAAATCCGCACAGCCGGAGGTCATCTCGTAACACCTGCAGGAATCTGCACAGCGAGAGTCACCATTAA